GATTAACCTAGCTAGCCCTGAACGGAGTCACTGCTTCTTGCGCTGGCTCTCAGGCGGAGTTAGTCGTTCCTGGACAATTCGGGAAAGTGCTCTGCAGATCCGTGGAAATGTGGTTGTGACTGAGCACTTGTGCTGCCAGTCAGAGGCCGCTGAGCGTGTCTTTCGTGATCACAAATCTGCCTTTCGTTTGCCCTTACAGAGCTCAAACTCACTGGGGAAGAATGACATTTAGATTGCTATATGTGAATGAGATAATTTCCTGACCAGAAGCAATGTTTGCTTAGTTGTTTTCCTTAGGCTTGAGGAGGATAAGCCTGTGTTTATAATTCATTTTCCTTGCACGTGATATTTTTCCTTCCCTTCACTGATTAATTTCTTCAACTGATCTATTTGCAGTATGACATTAATATTGAAAATGAAGTTACGAAGGCAGTCAGGGAAAAATAGTTGATCTCCTTCTGGCAACCCAGGCACATACATTTGTCTAATGCAGCAAAATGTGAAAAATGAAGTTGAATTGGCCTAGCACATCAGAGACGTGACATATTGCAACGTTACCTGAGTTTTGCATATCGAGTATAAGAAAGGAAGAGAGAAAACCTTCATAGTTCTCCTGTCACAGAGAATGAAGCATTAAGTTTAGAGCTGATTCTGTCTGTTGAGGAAACCGGCATGGAGCGAGAGCCGGACACCTGCGTGAAGCAAAGCAGTGAGGCGTCCCCGGGCAGCTGTGCCGCGGGCCGGGGAAGCCTCTGCGCTGACCCCGCTGCTGGCACTGCCCCGCTGAGCCGTCGTCGGCACGCGGGGCCTTCCCAGTCACGCTCCCCAATAGTCGCTGCTGTTCGTTACTTACCAGCAATTCTTAATTTAGGATTTAAAGTTATTAGCGTTCCTTGGCGAAATTATTTATTTTTTAAAAGCGCTAATCTGTATTTATTTATTACTTTCAATTTAGTGTTTCTTGCCAAAGAGAAATGAACACAAAAATAGAGAATTAAGCAGCAGACGCAGTGTCAGAAAGCTTGAAATGCTGCATTACCATTTCACAAACCTCAGGAAATGCAAAAAAAAAGGCTCATATTTAATGAGAATTACAGAACTAAAAATGAAGGAGGCTGCTGAGGTGACAAGGAGGCAACACAGGAAGCAGCTTCTAAGGTTTATGTGTCTGGCTTTGTTAGCAGTTAACCCTTTCTGCTTACCTTGTTTCTTTTCAGTAGCACGTGTTTTGTTACAGAATTTTCCAGGATACCAATAAAGGAAAAAGATCAGGTTTACAAAATTTAGAAATTCCTCAGGCTCCAGTTGTAGAACCAAAAATTTCTGAAAAGTCCATAAAACTGTCACTAAACCTGTGGTCCTGGCAGTGGTAGGACGCAAGGTGGTCTTCTGGTAGGTAAGGAAAAACTAACCTTTTCAAATGTTTATGATTTTTATCTTACATTTTTAAAAGACATTAGAAAAATCATTCATTCAGCGTGAAGACAATTTTGTGCTAAGCTTGACATTTTGTTTTTTAGGTGTTCTTCATTCAATAAGACAAAGAAAAAGGGAAGAACCTTTAAAAATGTGTTTTTATTATTCCTCAGAGACAGAATTGTTTTCCTTAACCTTTATAAACATTTTCTTTTAACATGAGAAAGAAGGAATAATGTGAACGTCCGGGCTCTTGGAAGCCAGTAAAAAAAAAGTCTCTCATTTTAATAAGGCCAGAAGGTTGTTCTTAACACAGAATTTTTCAAAGAACTGGAGGTGTGCAAACGAAATCCCCGCTGCCCCTCCTAAAAAAAATCCCAAGCATTTATTTCTCTCCTTATTCATAAAGTGTTTTCTGATTTACAGAATGTGATGACTGCGTGCAGGAGTTAGGTTTTTCTTTCTCTTGATAGTGAAAACTTTTGCACAATTCAAATGAAAGTATAGATTGTGAAACATAAGCACCTGCAAATCCACTGCATTTCTGAGAAAGGCAGCTGAAGGCACGGGTGGTGCGTTGCAGGAAGGGACAGCAACCCTCACTAGGCCACTGGAAGGGACAGTTGTTCAGACTGTGTGATCTTGAGCAACCCTCCTTCTCTGAGTCAGGCGATGTCTGCTAAGAGTATGCCATCTGTGGCTCTTCACGTTTATGTCTTAACAGAACTAAGGTAGATATATAGCGAGGATGAATTCCATCCTTGGCATTTTATGACCTTTTGAGCACAGATGCTCCAAATGAAGGGTACCCTTCGTTCACAAATGCGTTTTTCCTCTGCAAACAATGCAGATAATAACTGCATGCTGCAAGTACTGAAACTGTACTGGTCCCACTGGGTTGGCTAGTTATCCCAGTCACTTTATTTTTGTTCCTGTAGCAAAGCAGCCTGGAATGCACTGAGGATGAGTTTGCAATCAAAAAATAGAAACAAATAAAATGTTGATGTGCCTTTTCACTTGAAGTGATCTGATGGAAGTATTAGCGTTAAATAAAAGCTAGCAGAGCTCAGGAAAACACAAATGAGTCATGAACGTTTCTCCAAAGTCTTATTCAGGGAAATTCGTTCTCCTAGTATCTGCTTAGTTCTAACCTGAGTTCTCTATGTTTTCCTTTCTGTATAGTAGTGCTTAGCCAGAGTGCTTAGCCAAACTAGCGTGTAAATTCAAGCATTTAAATCAAAGCTGGCTGCACCTTGGACTTGCACAGAAAAGGGAGAGGAGCCCTGGGCACCTAAAGAAGAATCATATGGGCTTCTTGGAGTTAGCTTTCTTGGACGTGATGTCGTCACACGCTGCCATAGCAGAAGGTTGCAGAGGAGCGAAATATTGCCACAAAGCTTTTATTGGTGGACAGCTGAGGAAAACCAGTAGTTACTGTCCAAGCTGTTAGGCAAAATGAACTTGTCCATGTAAGTAGAGCTGTTGTCCTCGCCTGGGAATAATTTAGGAACGCTTCCCACGCTTGCCCCGCAGCCCACAGTTTTATTTCATGGAAGAGAAACAAACAAAATCTATGAATTAAATCCATGTAATCCTCTGGCCTTTATAGCACAAATCCTTAATTTACTAACTGTATACAGAGTTTATGAAAGAGCCTCTGCCTTATCTTTGGCTTAATGCATTGTCACAGTTACTGGACGAAGAGGCTGATAATTCAGGTATGACTGTTGTTAAAAAGGGCTGTGAGCTAACGTAGTTGCAGTAGCTTTCCGATCGAGCACTGTGTGATCTCTTTCTGCCACAAAAGTCTGTTGGTCATTTATTGTCCTTTGAGTTTCTCTAATTCAAAATTACTGGATTAGAGGATTTGACTGAAAAAGCAGTATTTAAAAAAATAGCATGTGCCAGTTTTTTTGGTGAGGAAGGCGTTATCACCAGAGTTCCTGGGAGCTGCCCTGGGACTTTAATGGATGTTTTGGTGTAAATGAACTAGGAATAGGACTCTTCTTTCCATTGCTTTACAAAGGATGTGCTTCCTGCAGCCCAGCCCTGTAGCTGTTGAACAGCTGCTCTCCAGCCAAAATTAAGGGGGATTTAACCTAAGTGAAGGACACCAGCTGGGGTTCATCAGCATGTAACTCTCTTACCCACTTCCAAATCCTTGCAGAGATCAACAAATCCCATGGTTCCTTAATAATGTAAGAGTGGCTTTAAGTCCCAAGGTTGGACTCACATCTGTACTCGACACTGCTTGGAATTGAGGGCTTTGAAGTTGACTTGATTGTCAGTTCATGAAGGCGAAGTTACATGGCAGTGGGTAGCAGTGGGATGTTACTGTAATTCTCTGGGCTCCACCTGAATCCCTCTGGGAAAAGACGATGCGGCGGGGGCAGCACTGAGTCACCTCTGCACTTCTCTGTTCCCAGAGCCTCGTCTTCGGCATGAGTCAGGGCATCTTTGAAGCTCCTGTTCCTGGGTTTAACCAATGTCTAAACATAAGTAGCATATCCTGCAGGTAACCAGGGCTTATTGAAACAACAAAACTTTCAGTTTGCCCCATTTCCTCAGCTAGGGTTTCCCTGGCTGTCCGGAGTAATTGCAGATTTCTGTCACACCAGAGCATTCCTCCAGTTTCAGGATCGCTTGGCTTTCATAGACGCTTTGTTCCTAGTCTGCTGTATACTGTGCTTGCATCAAAGAACTGCAGCTACGGATCACAGCTGTGCTATATGACATACAGGGAAATGGTATAATATACTGCCTTTGTTTTGGATATACAGTGCTCGCTATGACAATCCTGTCATACACCATCCCAGGTGGTTGACTTTGCCCTGCGAGTCATGCTGCTGTCCCGAATGCGGCCCTCGTGTGGCAGCCCCCCCACTGGAGGGCTCTGCTGCCGCAGGTTTTACAGGCAACGTCTGTGACCCTGTTTCCTCCTGGAAGCTAAAATATTTTGGGCGAGCGGTGCCGACAGTCCCTTGAGGAGCCTGCTTTGGGAGCCTTAGCTAACACATCCCCAGCAAGTGGTAATACCTTTTTCTAAAGACTGGTGTTGCTTGTCCAAGCTCTGACCACAAGCAGACTTTTTCCGTGTGAGGTGTCAAAATGCACGGCAGGCTCATAGCTGGCCACGCCGGTGTTCAGGCTACGAGCAGCCCCTGCTCTGCCCGGACCGCCGGGGCTGGCCAGCTGCCCTTGTCCCCTGCCAGCAGGTCTGAGCTCCGTGAGGCACCTCGCACCCTGCCGGGGCCGGCCTCGCCACTGCCAGCCCTGGCCCGCGGAGGCTGGCGGCGGGCGG